CAGTATGGGACTGCTCAGCAGTACGCACCCACAACCATACCCTCTGAAATCGAACACAGTACCTTCAAGTTCGTGGCCAGCACGTTACTACTAAGTCACTGGGTAGGAATCCAATGATCCATATTTCAAGTTCCTATCAATTCACGATATAGTGTGATCATCACCCATTATCATCGTTGGGTATTTGTTCTCACGGCCCCCACGTTTGCCCCACTGGTTATAACTTCTCATTGGAACTTCAAGAATCACCTCTCGAAGCTAGTGACCAATGAGTACTAGTTCAATCGTTTACTGTCATGTATATAACTAGCCAATGTATGCGGTTGGCAAGTGGAAGGGGTATCAATTTGAAATCTGTACTAAATGAATTTTTGATAAGTTTTTCTATCTATAGGAGTTTGCATGAACTTGAAGAAAGTATTCCTTGTGATATCCGATCTGTTGTAATCTTTTCTTGTGACAAGGAGAAGGGTATATTGCATTCTTTATTTTACTATTGATACACAGTTAAATAACAGTGTCAGACATATATTGGCTAGTTATATACATGACAGTAAACGATTGAACTAGTACTCATTGGTCACTAGCTTCGAGAGGTGATTCTTGAAGTTCCAATGAGAAGTTATAAGCAGTGGGGCAAACGTGGGGGCCGTGAGAACAAATACCCAACGATGATATTGGGTGATGATCACACTATATCGTGAATTGACAGAAACTTGAAATATGGATCATTGGATTCCTACCCAGTGACTTAGTAGTAACGTGCTGGCCACGAACTTGAAGGTACTGTGTTCGATTTCAGAGGGTATGGTTGTGAGTGCGTATTGCTGAGCAGTCCCATACTGGTGAGATGGAACATGTGTCAAGTGTTTCAAGGTTTTGAATGTTTCTCTAACTGATGTCAGTCCATGAGGAATAATAACTTGAAAATAATCTCTAAATCTACACAAACCTCCAAATTCGAACTTAAATTAAGCTTCATCAAGCTTTCTTATATAGTAAGTAATTGAATCCAAGGATCATAGTAAAATACCTTATTTAAGTATACTGATTTTAACCACAATTCTAATCAGTTGAGTAGGTGGTAAATTCATTTGGTATGTACTATTCCCCGGTTACATCATGAGTTGACAATTTAAATGGTGTTGTCCTCTGTGAGCTGGTTAGTTTAATTGTGAAGCTTTCATTATCATTCTATAAAGGATCATGGGTACAAACTTCGGAAAAAAGCCCGTAATGTCCATGTTAAAATTCTTCATAACTGAGTGGTTTAAAGATCATTCAAGCATGGTGTTATTCAACATTTTGTTAAGAGGAGCTGAGTAAAGATCACAGGCTGTATCATTTGACTAAAAGTATGATTTGTTTATCAGATATGGTAATCAAGAACATGAATCATAAGAATTTCTTCATATTGATGTACATTTCTCTTTGGTTCAACTGTGTCGAATAAATTGACCTTTTGAATTGAGCTAACATGAGTTTATTTATTACACATCAGGTGAACAATAAATAGAAGGAATTGCCTTTCATGATATTGACTGCTTAGTGTTTGCTAGCAGTAGAATACAAGACACGCGTTTCTTTGATGTTCCCAACTCATTAGCTGGATGCGCTTCTACTCAAAGAGTTGTGATGTTCACAGTGAGACTCAAGCTCAGGATGCGTAACTTCATCCACTAGGCTATCGAGTTATGGCCGTTACGTATATCTAGTAATATAAGTAAAAAACTTGGTCACTACGGTAGAATGTAATTCCATGTTGGATTTGATTATTTGAATTATAACACACAGTGATACAGTATTATTCACTGGATGAAATTTCGAGCTCATAATCATATCAATGTAATCACACTAATTTTAACATCTAACTTTCATAGTCCTGTAACATCATATTCCTTATTTTCAGTGGTAGTAGAATTTTCCATATCTCTGGTACAGACGTTGTGTCGTTTCTAATACATGTATTGGGTGCAGATTTGATGAACAAACATTCAGTAATTAATCTCGCCCTCTCTTCACCTAGTTATATTGAAGTTGAGTACACCCACCCCATTGTGTGGTTGTGTCTTAATGTATTCATTGGGATAGCCGAGTATTTCTCTAGATTAATTATCTTCTTCAGGTCTGTCATTCTAAAATTAGCTAAATTCCTACGTTCGGCTATTCTAACTTATCGCAGTCGGCTAGTTTCACCTATTTACTTAAACTTACAGCCACTACGTAGAATTTGATAGATTAGATTATTTTGCTTGATTGGATGTATCGGATCCTTAAGCCAGCCGACAAAGCTTATCTCTGAGTTAGTTTGTGAGTTTAAATCCAACTGAAATTTCAGTTTTGTTGAGAATCCTGTGTAAAGCTTCTGATGTGTTAACAAAGTGGAGACTTTTAATTCGTTTCTACTTGTGCTGTCGTTATTACTCTTATTCGCATTACTGCTATTATTTCGTTTGTTATGCGTTAGTATGAATCTCTTAATAAACTATGGAGGATAATTATTAACTATTTGTGCTGCTTTTACGTGTTTCAATTCGATGTTTAAGTCCTTGCATTGACTAGTGAGTTCTCTAAGTCTGTCACTCAGTGATTTAATTAAACCTACCTTAACTGACACTGGATGAGATGACCTGACATCTAGATACCTGTTAGGATGTGTTGCTTTTCTATAGACCGCAGTATCAAAACCACCGACTGTCTTTCGTTTTGTCCTGCAATCCATCATACGTAATTCTCCTTGTTCATTTTCTACCTCGTAAGTGAACTGGACTGTACCTAGTACTGAGCTTATATGTTTAAGGAAATTGTCGATTTGTTCCGATTTCAACACAGTAAATGTGTAATCCACATATCTCCACCTTATTTTTGGGGCAGAATTAAACATTTATAAAGCCATGTTTTCCCAACTATGCATAAATCGATCTGGTATGGTTGGGGATATTGGTCGTCCCATTGCTACTCCTTCTGCTTGTCTGTATATTTTATCCTGAAACTTGAAGATTGTGGAGGTCAGACACAAACGTATGCCTAATATGATTTCATCTACTGATATCTTAGTTTTGTAAGTTCTGAGTCAATATTTAGTTGATTACTGACCGCTTCCAGTGCCAATCAATATTGCACATTGGTGTCTGTTGTGAGCCTTTAGACTCGAATCGTTACATAGACTTCAAATCATCTTACACTATGTCAACTAAAATAGATCTGAAAAAATGTCTACGTAACAGGGTTGAAAAGCTTATAATTAAGGTAGAAGATTTGAGGAAAGCAGTCATACAGAAAAAGGACACCTTATTCACTAATGATTCCCTTGTTAAATTAATCAATAAACCTATTGGTAATAGTAGGGAAAATATAACTAACAGTGGTAACACAAATGTTGATAATAATAATAACAATTTGAAGATCCAATTAAAAACGTGTGCACCGTTATCATACAATGAAGTGATATTACGTGGCATTCTCAATAAAGTTGGAATTAGAGTAGCATTTAAACCCATAAACTCACTTAGAAATAAGCTTTATAGATTAAAAGATTCCATTGATCTAATTTTGTAAAATATTGTAGTTTATAAAGTGCCTTACAGTGACTGCGAGTTCCAATGCATTGGTCAGAGTGGTAAACTAGAGTTAACTGGGCCATCGGAGCACAAAAGCCTGACTAAATCAAGACTGGTAGATCCTAGTAAGATAGAGAATCTGGCAAAAGGCTTAGCTATAACTATGTTTGCAGTTACACACCACTATATAGCAGGATAGGACAAAGCGATAATCCTAAAAACTGGATTATTAGAATAAAGGTACAGATTGATAACCGAATCTTTGTCTATCGAATCAACACGAAATAGGTACTACAGGAATGATTCAGCACCTGTGCCAGATATATAGGAAATTCTACAACGTATATTACAAAGAAAAAGAGTAAACCAGAGGTGTATGAACCGGGTGACTTTAAAGGCCACCCTAGCAACGATCGAGATAACTCATTAGATTTCTTCATTTCGTTTGAAAAGTCAGATTTTCGCAAAATACAGACATCTGATTGGTTATTTCAGTTATTGCTAGGGTGGCCTGCAAAGTCACCCCTCATAAATAGGCGACTTTGAAGGCGACCCTACGCAGCTGCTGTAATAACCAATCAGGTTTCGGTATTCCGGTTAAAAACGTAGTTTTTAATAAAACCCAGAAGCCTAATTGGTTGCATCAGCTGTGGCTAGAGTACCCTATAAAGTCACTCGTATAAACCATATTTCAAAGTTACCTTGAAATGACTGTAGACAACAAATTGTGTATGAAATTTGATTGACAGAATTTGGTCTGCGCTCAGGACTAGATAACATAAAATTGGTTGCTCTTTTGTGACCAATCAGTGTATGTAACCCATTCCCACAGGAGGTCAGTCATGACCTGAGTAGCTCAATGGTAACGTCACTGACTACAACACTGGGTGACGCAGGTTCCAGTCTCAGGTGGAATATCAGTTCCGTCAAGGTTTCAGATATGCCTTGTTGATGAGTGCCAACGAGCGTGAAAACTAGGTCCAACCTCCAACCAGCTAACATCTTGAGTAAGTTTGCACACTCTTTATCTCTCCTTTGATCAAGGAAAACTTAGTAAACAGCCTTATCATTGAGATTTTTCCATTTCTTTCTTATTCCCCACCTCTTTCACATACGCAAAGTATTCATTTCGACTTCATTTATCCACTTACTTCATTCTTTAGTAATATGCAAACGTTTTTCAATTTAATTTTTTGAAATGTATACACCCTTATGATATTTTCCTGGGTCTTAACATGATAAAATGGAATTACGTTCTATTACAGTGGCCGTATTTTAAACTCATATAATTAGAATGTTAATATTTCTCTTCGAGAGTGAGTTATCTATTAACATGTTTTACTGATGGCCAAATATTGTATCAAAGCCGTATTACTTGAAAACTTGTTTTTTTATTGGGGTAACCAATTGATCTACTTCGTTTCATTTATCTTTCTTCAGTGTGGAAATGTATAATAAACAAATGAGAAAGATGAAAATGAAAGCTATGAATCATAAAGATAACAAAATGTTGATAACAACAATTAATCGTACTACTCCTTCTACTACCAATATACAGTATGATAAGGTGAGTTATTTATATCAAATTATTTGAAGCCTAAATTCCTAAGTGATTGAACAGCAGAATAGTATATCCTCATGTCAATCAGATATTGTTTTGAACAAGTATTCAGTGATTTATGTCATTGTCATACCATAGGATATTGATTTTATGATGTTGATGAAAATGTTGGCTATGTTTATTCTTCCCGACAATTCAGTTATCACCCGGGTCCTGGGTTTCTGTTGACTAATTGAAGAATATTTAAAATACCTCCTTATTTTTTTTGAAACATATCGCCATAATTTATTATTGTTAGGTTTCTATCATTGTTCAAAACAAATTCTGTTGTTTGAAGTACATTAGTCCCATATTAGATTTATTTATTTGATATGGCCCACACTAATACAGTATTACGTATTTGATGATGTTTCAAGCATAAATTACTGCTCATAATAATTTCAACGTACTTACCTAACTCTCAAAATCAGATTCTTTTACCCCTATCACCGTATATTGTTTGTTTTTACCGGTAGAAAAACATTTCCGACCTCCATTATAAGTGTTGCGTCATTCCTGTGACATTCGTTGGGTGTTGATTCGATGAATAAAGATTCGGCAACCAATCTCTTCGTTTCTTCATCTAATTACTATTTATTGATATACCTCTAATTCTCCGTTGTTTTTTACTGGATCGAATTGTTCAACCTTCATATGCCAATAGAGGTCGAACAGTTTGATCCAATAGAAAAAAACAGGGAATCACAAGTATATCAACAAATAGTAATAACTAATACCCTTCGTAAATGAAGTGGCTAACGGGCCTCTATGGCACAGTAGATAATGCGTCAGCGTTTGAAGCGACGGGTACGAGGTTCTAGTTTTAGTGGGGTGCAAGTACATCGATCTGACAAGTACCAAACCGGACGAAACGTGCGTCCTGGATTCCTCTGCTAGCTATAACAAGTTACCGTAAGTACAGAGGTTTATCCCACCCTATGTGTGATTGTATCCTTATGCATGCAATGCAATAGCCGAGTGTTTTTCTACATTATTCATCCCATTGTGGTCTGTCATCCTGCAACTAACTAAATTCTCATGTTACAATAATCTAACTGATCGTGATCGGCTGGGTTCACCTGTGTACTTAACCTCATAGTCACTTCATAGAATTTGGTAGATTAGATTATTTTGCTTGACTGGATGTATCGGATCCTTAAGCCAGCCGACAAAGCTTATTTCTGAGTTCGTTTATGAGTTTAAATCCAACTGAAATTTAAGCTTTGTTAAGAAGCTTGTGTGGAGTTTTTGATGTTCTTTTTCTATAGGGTAACATAGTGCAGGCTGTGAACACTTTCCTACTAGCTTTATCGCTATTATTCCTATTGACTTTACTGTTATTATTTCATTTCTCATGAGTTCGTAGGACTTTTTAATAAACTTTGGAGGATAACTATTGATTAGTTAGGTTTTATATGCTCGAAATATCATTCAGTAAATAATTATCATTATGTGCTATATCGAATCAACAAATGTAATATGAAATGACATCCTAACCCAGTGCCTAAGTTTTACACTTAAATTATTACAGTACATTACAATATCAGCAATTATAAGTTGCCACTTAGTTAGGAAAGTGTCTTCAACTTGTTAATCATTCTAACATAACTTAGATTTTATTTCAGCAGTTACTCCCATCTAAAAATGCAACTTCGAATTAACTCTAACTACTAGTTTCAATGGATAATTTTGTATATTTTAAATAGGGTTACTGTATATTTGAGATACAAAAATTGAAAAGATTTCACATTCTATTCAATTTGTATGTTCTATAGACAAGTCGAAAAGAAGTATACCATTTTCTATACGATTTTCTTTCCAATTGACACTAAATAATAAATGTGGTGAGTCACTGAAGAAAGGCATGCTTTGTCTATGAAACACACTCTTAACAGAAAGAGAAAAAAAGATTGGAGTAAAGGAAAAGCTTTTTGGTTGGTGAACTGATTCACTTCAATGAAAATTCATGAACACTAAAGAACACTTCAGGAACTAAAAACATCAGATAATAAAAAGGGAGGTTATACTGGGTTATATATATATAGGTTATATACACTGGGATTAAGAATTAACCAACAGTAAGATGATTAAGAAATAAAATGCGATTACTTTAGGGTGATCAGTTCTTTACGTTGACTATGGCAAAGAGCGTGAATGTGACTTGGTTGTATTGTGTTTTCTGAGCTGGGTTGTTTAATTGTGAAGTTTTCATCGTCTTTCTAGACGACATCATCAGCGCTAACTTCAGTATGATGATGATGTCATCTGGAAAGACGATGAAAGTTCCATGATTAAACAACCTAGCACAGAGAACACAGTGTAACCAAGACTATCCACCTGAGCTACAAATATTTTCTACTATTTCAAGGTAGACATATGTATCGCTTCTGCATGCACAATAAGCATCGAAAATTTTGACTTGCTAGTGCTTCAGCTACGGCTATATTTCTTAATCTTTACTCTTTTGAGATGCACATTCTTAGTCTCAAACTTTGCTTGGCTATATATATATATATTCAGAAACTGATAGTCTGTTCAAATAAAAGTGTGTGGATTGAAGAAGAGAAGTATCATTAGATCTTAAGGTCAGAATTTTCAAATTTCATATGTTGTTGTTCCAACGATACTCAATTTGATGTTGAAATGAAAATACAAGCTCAAAAAATAATCCTGTCCTAATATTGCTACACTTAATACAGATTTCAAAAAGAGTTACCTAATTGAATATATATGCCCCTAGTAGTAGCAATCTTCCTCATAAATTGATTCACTAGATGATTCATCATACTTTTCTCAAAATTAATTGGACATTGAAATCTGTTTAGTCAGTATTCGCCTGGTATTTCACCTTTAGTTCAATGAGTATTCTGATGAAAAGAGAGATAACTATCGAAAATATACGGTTAAAGTTTCATGCTTTACATTATCTGTTTGGCAGCGTTCCGCTGATTTGTATTGAATCATCTGTTTGTAGTATTTTCAACCCAATTTTTTGAATTAATTTTCTTCCAAAGTGAAAATTCTCAGTTCATAAATTGTCATCTACCCCTCATATAGGAAAACGTTATAAAAGCGAGTAGAATAACTGTAGGATAAAGACTACTTACAGAAATGAGTAGTTATAAACCCCTAAAACCACTAAATAATACTTTCTAGTTAGTTTTAGTGATCTTATTTCGTCCTCTTAGTTTACTCACTCCGGATACGACATTTGTGAGCTTATACTGGAGCTGATGATGCAGTTATCTAGTGTTCACACGATTACGATCACTGCTGGTTGATCATAACGATTTCTAAACACGTATCAGTCTGGTAGAGATGATGGACAGTAGCTATCAGTGGAATAAAGGATGGGTGTTTCGTCTCATTTGAAACTTGTCAACTGGATGTACCTGACTCTCAGTGAGTGGCGTTGCTCACACTAAGACTCGATTCCAGGACCGGCTGTTTCAAATGCTAGAGCGTTATTCACTGTGTCACTGAGTTCCCATAGCTGCTTCTTATGAGTCAGGCATAGTTTTGAAGCTATAGCTTGTAACTTCTAGTCGACAAAGTGTGAGGCGTAACACCTTCTACCTTCAAAGTACATTCTATCTAAAGCAGATACTTCTCAGATACTTTAAACTTATCATTATTAGAAACACTTAAAAATGTTTCATATTAGTGTATATTAGTCTGAGTTACCTAGTACTTCACTAAAACACACAGAAATAAGATATTTAAGATTCTGTGAAACAGAGAAAACAGTAAACTCAATTAGTTTTCATAACTGTCGATACACACATTCCTGACATATCACTCTGAAATAATGTTCATTACTTGAAAATTTCTCACCTGAATAACTTCCAATGACACCGTATGTAGTGAGACAACTAAATGAGATACACAACTGACGTTCATAGAATAGTACAGAATGAAAGCAAAACATATCAGTCTTTAGGCTGGATAACCTCAGTGCAAAGGTTGAAAGCACCAGCCATTTACCTCAACCATTATTGCATCAGAGCCACATACACACACTACAAGCATTGATCCGCTTAAAGTGGCGAAAAAGCTTCGCACATGCTAGTTCAGCTAAAGTGTAACTGAATGAGACCACAGTTCAAATGGTATTCAGAATTTCATAAGTCTGTCAGCAATCATAGAAGTCAAACGGTTCTTCAAGGAAACAAGAAAAATGTCTACATTGGACAAATAAACAAGCACAGTTTGCAATTTTACATCCATTGTAACGTAGCTGTTTCTAAAAATAAAAATAAGATGACATGGAAGAGGATGTTTTAGGAATAAAGAAGGGGAATAAGTCTGATTGGTTATATAGGTATATTCCCAGGGTCCATAACTGCCTAAAACATGAAATGTTGAGAATGTATTTGTATGTGTAATAGTATCTCCACTTGTCAACAGTTAAGAGTGGACTGTCGAAATAAAGCATTCCGGCTGTACATCAAAGAAATTTATTCTTATTTCCTGCCATTATATTGATGTCAGCAAAATTAGTTGACTGCAATACTTACTGAGATTTCACTCAGCTGAGTTCAACAGTCACTTTTACACCTCTAGTTGAACTAATGTATCTCCACTAGCTATAACTGCTAAATGAGAAAATATTTAATAGTAGAATAAATGACTTTGATGAAGGACACTACAAGAATATCAGCATTTTTGACAATAGCTATTTAGGCAGATATAGATTAGTCATCTTGTGAGTAGATGGTTTTCATAAACAGCAATATAATCTATAGGTTCAAATCAAATGGCTGTATTGCTGTTTACAAAAACCGTCCACTCACAGGATGACTGATTGCATACGGAGACATAAAACATATTCCACAAACAAAAAAAGCTTAGGAAAGCTGATAAAGAGGTAAATTCGTAAAAGAAGCACGCAACACTAACACCATCAAGAATTATACAGTCGCATGATAAAACTTTGAGTAGATTGACGTATATCTGGAAAATAATTC